TGGGATACACACTTTCCTTTTTCTACTTTAGTTGCTCTCCCCAGGGTGGGGAGTGACCATACTCCCTTGGTCCTGGATACTGGTGCCAGAGCCCCAACTACCCCCAAACCGTTTAGGTTTGAGAAATGGTGGCTCTCACAACCAGACTTCCATCAAATGGTGGTGGAAGCATGGAATTCTGTTTCTTCAGTCAAATCCTCTGCTGAGAATTGGTTGTGTAAGACTAAGAATCTTAGAAAAAAAACTAAAGGGTGGAATATTAATAGGGAGGTTGCTCTTAAGAAAAAGAAGAAGGAACTCCTTCTGGAGTTTGATATATTGGATGTCATGTCTGAAACCCATCAACTATCTACTGCTGATTATGACAGGATGAGAGAGATTAAAAAAGAGCTAGATGAATTGTGGAAGAAAGAGGAGACTGCCTGGCAGAGATCTAGAGATAGAAAAATCCTAGAGGGTGATAGGAATAATGCTTATTTTCATGCACTGGCTAATCACAGACACAGAAAGAACCATCTTTCTGAGTTAAATAGTCCTAATGGTGTGGTCACTTCGACTAGAGAGATGCTTGAGGTGGCTACCTCTTTTTATAAAGAGTTATTTGCCTTTGAACCCAAACCTGATATCCATTTGGATACTAACTTCTGGTCTAAGGATGAAATGGTGAGTGCTGATGAGAGAGATTATCTGGAGAGTCTTTTTTCTGAGGATGAAATTAAGCAAGTTGTGATGAGTTCATACGCTAGTGGTGCCCCTGGCCCTGATGGCCTGTCGTTTTTATTTTACCAAAACTTTTGGGACTTGATTAAGAAAGATTTTATGTGGATGGTTAGAGATTTTGAAAGAGGTATCCTGGATATATATAAACTCAACCATGCCATTATTACTCTTATCCCCAAAATCCCTATGGCTAAAGACATGAAGAATTTCAGGCCCATTAGCCTTAGTAATTGTGCTGTTAAGATCTTTTCTAAAGCTATGACCACTAGGGCCTCCCCCCTATGTGACAGACTAATTTCCTCTAATCAGACTGCGTTTATCAAAGGGAGGTTCATTTTAGAAAGTGTGGTTATGGCTCATGAAGTCATTCATGAAGTTCATAGATCTGGGACTGCTGGTTTGGTTCTTAAGTTAGATTATGAGAAAGCCTATGATAGAGTGAGCTGGGATTTTCTAAAAGAGATGCTTCTATCTAGAGGATTTGGTAATAAATGGGTGGATTGGGTGATCTCCACCATTCATCAAAGCACATTCCAAGTTAGGATCAATGATTCTAATGGCCCCCAGTTCTCTGGGGGGAAGGGATTGAAGCAGGGTGACCCTCACTCACCCCTTCTTTTTAACCTGGTGGCTGATGTGTTTTCAAAAATGCTTCGAAAAGCTACAAGTATTGGTTTAATTCGTGGGCTTCTGCCACAGGCCTTTCCGGGTGGTGTGGTCAGCCTGCAATATGCTGATGACACCATCTTATTTTTAGAGACTTCGCTGGATTATGCTAAAAATTTGAAGTGGATTCTTTCATGCTTTGAACATTTGTCAGGTTTGAAAATTAATTTCCATAAAAGTGATTTGCATGCTATTAATATCTCTGAATAGCTGTCTAATGAATTTGCCCAAGTTTTTTGCTGCCAGATGGGGGATTTCCCTTTCAAATATTTAGGTGTCCCCCTTCACTTTAAAAAGTTGAGGAGGGAGGACCTTCAACCCATTATTGATAGGATTATTAAGAACATCTCGGGCTGGTTGGGGAGATTTCTATCTTACAGAGGGAAATTGATTTTGCTTACCACATGCATTGCTAGTATTCCTGCTTACCTTATGTCTATTATGAAATTTCCCAAATGGGCAATTGATATGATTACTTCTCAAATGTCTCATTTCTTTTGGGGTAACATGGGGGATTCTCATAAATACCACCTTGCTAATTGGGGGCTGATCTCTAGGAAAAAAGAGTTTGGTGGCTTGGGGGTACCCAATCTTAGAGAATTTAACATGGCTCTCTTGGCATCATGGGGAAAAAGATTTTATGACGAGAGGGACAGTGATTGGAAGAAAGTGCTGAAGTATAAATATAATACCACTTGTCCTAATTTTTTTAATACTAGGGTGGTTCTTGGTTCTCCATTTATGAAAAGTTTATCTTGGGCCCTTGCAGCTGCTAAGAACTTCTATAGATGGGTTCCTGGGGATGGGAATAGCATTGCCTTCTGGCATGACATTTGGGCAGGAGATTGCTCTTTGAAAACTGCATTTTGGGATCTTTACAGTATTTGCCAACAACAGGAGTCTACCCTGGCCCAGGTCTGGGTGGATGGTGAGCTTCGGTTAACATTTAGGAGGTGTGTCACAGAAAATACATTAGTTAGATGGGAGGAACTCACTGAGATTGTTAAGACTGTTTGTTTGTCTGACTCTCCAGATCAACCTCTCTGGGTGTTAGATTCTTCTAACAAGTACTCTGTCAAATCCTTTTACAAGCTAATTAACTTTGGAGGGATTCCTTCTATCATTAAAGATGACATATGGAAGATCAAAGTGTGACCAAATATACATGTCTTTCTCTGGCTGGTTTATTATAACAAGAGTCTAACCAGAGATAATTTAGCTAAGCGTAGGCATGTTGAGGACATGTCCTGTGTCTTTTGCTGTGAACCTGAATCTATTCAGCATCTGTTTTTTGACTGCGTTGTTGCTGAATCTGTCTGGAGCTTAATTGCTGATATCTTTGCGATAAATGTTCCTAACTCTTTTGATCAATTAACTTCCTTCTGAAAGAGAAGGAAACATTGTGAAGCCTTGAATATTGTTACTGCTGCTGCCTTGTGGAGCTTATGGCGTCTTCGGAATGATTTTGTTTTTCAGGGGCGAAGATGGCGAAGTATGAGGTGTGTCTTGGACCTGTTTGGGGCGACGATCAAGAAGTGGAAAGTGCTATGTTCCGAAGCTCAGGGTGCGCTACTTCTCCGGTGCTTAAGGCTTTTGGACCACCGAAGAGGGGAGTTGCTTAGGATTGCGTGGAGATCTTAGTGCTCTTTTTCAGTATGGCGTTGCTGGAGCTGTAGTTGTTGTTACTTGTGTTTGAACTATCCTTGAGCTTGTAATAGGGCAGTCCTTAAAACCCTTTCTATCTGCGCCAGCTACTCTCTGTCGCCGAGCGCTGTTTAACAGTCCG